TTTGTTGGTCACAAACATATTAATGTGTCCAACACATGAAGTCAAATTACAATTTTAGCCAGAATGATGATTGTCCACAATATCATTACCAAAATAAATTTAACTGAGCTAACTAATTATGTAACAACCAAAACTAAAAAATTAGCCAACAGCTACTCCAGCTCAAATTTAACCCAAGACAATGTTACAAATATAACAGCTAATAAATGTAGAAGTTAATTTTTATTCCATAAAAATGAATAATCTGCCTTGGAATTATGCAAAATACCTAGGAATGTGAAAAAACAAATCCAGTCCATTAAGTACTTTGTACATGTCTGGTACTGAACAGGAGGGAGACCAGACTGAGACCCTACTGTATGCCACCGATGCTGGCACTGAGAGCGGTGTTACAACACTTGTCAAGAATGTCTTGTTATCGTCTCTCACATCCAGGCTATCACATTGCCTGGTGTTAAAACTGAAGACGTCTGTGTCACGACGAGTGAGTCACCGAAAACCCACACAAGTTTGTAAACTGTGGATGATTAAACAGAGGGAATGGGACTGAAAACTCCCAGCGAGGTAAATAGTTTCAAATCATCCTAAAAATAACAATCACTCACATTGTTCAGACAAATATTTTTTTTCGGCTTCCTGAAGTTGATTCACAAAAGCTATTACATTTATTGTTTTCAGCAGCCAGTGTCTGGCAGGAAAAATCATCCGCTGCACAGCGAGGGATGTGTTTCATGTTCCCACAGGCAGAAACAACACATTGTTTGGAAATAAATAGAGAGGAAAAAAAACATCGGCTGTTACAATGGGAAGCAATTTCCAACATCAGAGATCTAACAGAGTAACAAAAAATGAAAAATGAAATCACAGATCTGCTCCGGGTGAAGCGACAGGCATGTGGTTTCAATGACAAGTGATGTATTCTAACTGCAGCCTGAAAAAAAAAATACCACAGCGTGAAAGATTACTGCAAAAGACGAAAGCAAAACAAGATTCCCGGGGATTGCGTTTTAAAAGCCCGCTCTAGCATGACTAAACAGAACGAAATCGTTTCACTTTTTATCTGGGAAGCATTACCATTACGCAGGCAGCAGACACTACCCTGGTGTGACCTCTCGGGAAGCGCGCCTTGTCTTGACATGGATTTGCAGGAAATAGTGGATACACCTCTTTGTGGGTTATGAGGCTGAGGCCGAGGCCGGCAGGAAATTTTCCCAGGCTTCATATTTGGAAGAAAAAAACGTACACTTTTGCCTCGGGCTCAGCTGAAACCCAGGCTGGATGCATTTCTAATGGGTTCCAATGGCAACAACAGAAGAAGCTGATGGTGGAGACAGGTTCTCACCCAGTCATTGGTCATTTACATTCATACTCATATCATTCATTCATCAATGATGGGCTGTCGTATAGAGTGTAAATGACTGAACTAAAGATGGATAGATAGATGGATGGATGGATGGATGGATAAAGTCCATACTCCTAAGTTTCTCTGACTTACTGGGTTGTTTTGCAGAAACATTTATTAATATGTTATGGAGTAGTTACATCTGTGCAGTCTTACAGGAACAACCGGCCCTTCAAGAGGAACTGTATTTCAAATGTGGCCCCTGGTCTAGTGCATCGTGAAGTTTGACTTTGCTACATTTTGTTAGCGAAGCAGCTAATGTATGCAGTGTTTTCTTTGCTCATTTGAATTCCCTTTGATTGTTTTTAATTGGCCTAATCCTTCAAAAGGTCTGGACCAGAATCAGATCAGTATAAAAAGTGCAGCCCAGACTTTCCCCTCTGGTTCCCAGAGGTCCTTAGAACTCTGTGTTTTGCTTCAACGCCTCCTTAAGATGCAAGTGTTCAGCAAATTCAACACATACACACGCGTGCACAGAAACCCTGATCTACACACACACTAATGACCCTGTTAAACACTTACTCTAACTCTGCTTTCAACCAAGCTGCACTTGAACACACAATGTTGAGGTACGGCAAATGATTAGGGCCAGACTAATCAATGGCAGATTTCACTGCTGCAACAATGGAGGCTGGAGCATTTGTAACGGCAGAACAAATTTCTCCGTGCCAGAATATTAAAGTGAAACCATGCCAGACGTAAGCTGTTTAAACAGCCTGACCTTGGACAGTGATCAATAACACAGGCCGCCTGCAGACGGCTGATCCTAGCAGCAATTAGATGGAAAGCAATTGTGTATGTCAAATATATAAAATCATAAATCGGTAAATCAGTTGAAATACCTCATCATCCCTGTGTTGGTCTGTCTGATGTAAATGTCCAAAAGTCCAAATGACACTTGAAGTGGTCAGTAATAGCTTAACCAGGAAGTGTCAGGAGGAGGTTCATTGTCACATTCTCTGAAAATACAACACCCTTGGATCAAGGTAATGTTTCTGAAGGTCATGCAGCGGCTGCAGATGCTGCTGAATAGTTTTTTTGAATTTGAGATTTTTAAAAAAAGACAGTTGGTGCTGATTCTCTTTGGGATCACACTGTGGCTGCTATTCTTTTGGACTCTGCAGTTCCCTGTTCTCTCAAAGGTCAGCACTGTCAGAGTGTTTTACTAGTGAATTGAAGGGTCATATTTCACCTAATACCGTTATACTGCTACTGCCTTTCATCTGGCATCAAACCCACTGACTGCACTTATGTCACCAAGAATAAAGCAGTTCAGTCTTGAATTCTCTTCATAAATATCTATTTAAAAAACATTGATTGCTCTTTTAGTTAGTTTGCCATACTTTTTGTTATTTTGATTGGAGTCATGCTTGGTATGTTTTTTAATTTATTTTCTTTTAAACCTCTACTTTAGCCTCAACTATTAGCTACTGTTTGGCTCCTGCAGCTATTTTTGCTGACTGTAACCTATTTTGATGCCACATTTTCTTTGTTTTTTCACAGTCACAGCAGGCAGAGCCTTCACATTGGCCAAAAATAACCATTTTGCCTCTAAGAACACAACAAAATCACTGTTTGTGCCAAAAGGAAAAAAATTAGAAAAGTAATTTTTGAGCATTTCTGTGCCATTTTTAATAGTAAAATGGTGGTCAAGCACCTGCAAAAGCACTAACAGGCAGAGGTAGAAATAAAAAGATAAAAGCTGAAGGAGAAGAGAACCAAAAAGATAATGGGCTTTTTTCATCTGAATGCGAACCAATTATTTTTTCATGTTGAGGAAAACATATGATCATCTGTGTTTTCATTGGTGCCTGAATAATGAAACGCAGCACAATGATTACAGACGTGCCCATTTGCCCCGTGGGTTGGGTGACATCTTGTTTGTTTGTGGAGTGGGTGGCTCCTGCCTTAGGATTAGGACTCACACTGATGAGCCAGAGATGGTTGGGGGTTTAAGCGTGGACAGAAGCACAACATTCTCACTGCCTCATTAGACTCTTAAAGTCCAGAGATAAGGAACTTCTCTAATTTGTGGCCCTAAACTATACAGGACCCTGACCCCTGACTGACGGGGCCTGAGCTGATTTACTGCCTGATTGGACATAAGGTACAAGGAAGGCAACATTCTTTCACTCTTCGGCATAAAAATACTCTCAGCATTTCTTCCAGTAAATACTTTGAGGGTTGGGAATGTTTATGGTAGAAGAAAATCCTCCTGGGAAGCTCCTACATTCAGTCCAGTGATTGGTCAACCATGTCAGCGGTCAGATAGCTGGCACTAGCCTGTGGCCTGCGACAACTCGGAGCCACAGAGCAGGAAATCCAGGAGAACGTAGACTATAAGAACAGTTTTAATAAAAAGCCTTTTTCCAAACTGTTTTTGACCATATTTTCTCCCCTCTGTGCCTGGAACTCTTGAGCAGACACAAAGGCATTATTACCTTTATGACTGGAGGAAACTTTTGAATTTCTAAAGTCTGTTTTACCTGATAAGCGTCATAACAGTGAAAACTGTGTTAGATAATAGTCTCCGACTAAATACCACTTTTGACATCTGACATCACCTTGGCTTTCGTCGCTAACAGCTAAACACCTCTTGTCAATGTGGCCATCTCCTGAATGTTAACTTTACGTCCTGAATTTGAATAGATATTTCAGGTGAAAACAGACAGACAGCCCTGTAACGGCAACTCACTGACAGATCAGCACAACTTTCCTCGTAAGATGCATCGTAATGTTCAGAAATCAAATCACACCAAAGGTCACTTATCAAAAGTAAGGCGTGCGTTATATCCCTCTTAAATGATGACACAAAACAGCTGACATTGAATATTTTCCACAGAATTTTTTTTTTCATGCAGTCCGAATCCCCATTTGGTATGCCGGGGTAGTCATCGAAATCAAATTTGACATTTTTAACAAAGCAATTTCTTTATTCAGTGGGGAAGAAAACTGAAACACAGTCGCTTAAACTTTCAGCTGAAACTCGATGAATGAATTGTGGGCAAGAATGTGATGAATGGATTTCTTTCATGGCTGCCAGACAGCGTAGTAGCCATCTGAGCATAAAATCTGGAAGCATTAATTTATAAAAAAAAAAAAGAGAGAGAGAGAGAAAGAAAGTTGTCCAGTTTTGGTAACGTGCAGGAAAAGTGAGAATCTCCATCAGATAAGGACGCAGCTCGCCTCACAGCTGACCCAGTGCAGTTCCCAATCTGAATGAAAGCACTCAGGGCAGCGAGGCAGTTAGGGCAGTTACTGTTCCCCTCAGGCACATCCTGCCGAAATGATCCACCCCCAACACACACACACACACAGTTCCCTGACCCCAGCCAGAAGAGCCAGCCACACACAGCACAGGAATGCAAACACAACAGACAGAGAGAGATGGTTGGCACCGGTGTTTTGAGTAAAGACAACAATCATAAAAAAGCAGATGCCCTAAGCTAAAAAAAAAATCCATGTCATGTGAAACAGACTGGGTCACAGGAATGTGTTAACAGATGAATGGTAGAGAGCGTGTCCACTAGCATTACAGGGATCCCAGTGGGAGACTCTGTTGTCAACACTTTAGATATATGTTTATGGGCCGTCTTACCTGAGGTGTCCCACATGTTCAGCTCAATGCGATGCTTGTCTATCTCAAAACTGGCCGTGTAGTTCTCAAACACAGTGGGTACGTAGGACTGAAAAAGAGACATTTGGTTTTTTTAGGTTAATGTGTTCGGAAAAATACTCCTGTGTTTACACTAAGGATGGCTCGATCTGACACTCAGGGTGGTATCAGTGCAATATTGTTCAAAATATTAGGCTTGAACAGCGACAAAAGAACAGCTATCACAAAAAAAAAACAAAAAACATGGTATCGGATGATCAGTATTGGCCGCAGTCTTCAGTAAATACTGGCTTGAATATAGTCACCTTAAAATGTATTAGGACATACATATCATATATCATTAAGTGGTACTTTAGTGGATGCTCTTGCTTTTTGGTGTACATCAAGACGAGCAACAGTGTAATTGATGCTGAGTTGACATATTTCCTGTGTGGAGGTCAGGTGATCTAAGGATACTTTTTTTTTTCCTTTTGGTCGGAATTGGACGCATTAAATAGACTATAGTCATGAATGTGAGTGTAATTTTATTTCTTTGGTCTCTATATGTGCCCCGCCCCCAAACTTATAAATAACTAAAAAGGTAAAATATGAATGAATACCTTTGACAGGGTAGCTAGCTGTGCTCTTTAATAGCATCTGTTTTTAGCTGTTTCCTGGTAACCATAGATCAAAGTCATTTTCACCAGGGGCCACATCAGCTATACAGTTCCCTTTGAAGGGCCAGTTGTAAATAGAAGACTGTATAGGTCAGGGGTCCCCAACCCCCAGTTCACGGACCATTACAAGTCCATAGGTAATTTGGTACCGGGTCACAGTGGGACACAGTGAAAACATGTACATAATTTTTACTAAATTACTTCATTCAAAGAAAATCCAGTCCATATCATATCCATTAACTTTTTATTTAAAAATAATCTGGGGATATTTAAAATAATAGGTCATGGGTAACGGGTGACACAAAACAGCTTGGCGGGCCGCATTTGGCCCCCGGGCCTTGAGTTTGACACATATGCCATAGATGATCAACTGCCTCCATCTCACTTTTGCTCTTGTCTGATGAAACTGTGTTCCACTGACCTTCTTAACTACATCTATGACTCTTCTGTGTGGTCTCTCTAGTCCTCCTTAATTTTGCAGCACTCCACCCTCCTCCCCCAAACCTTGTCTCTCTAACTTTCCTCTGAACTGCTCACCCTTATCTCTTTCACTGACTTTCTCATTTCTAGTCATGTCAATCTTGGACCGCGCCCAAGTACTACAGTATCAGCTCCACTCCTCGTGTCCAAAAACAGTATTTTTCTCACAGCATCTTCTGACCTTCTCAGCACTCTGAGATGAAAACCACACCTGGAATACTCTGTCTTTCTGCTTGTACTTCCACATCTCCACCTCAGAGCCTGACACTGTGGCTGATCAATTGTATACCTGTAGTTACTGCTGTTCTTTACCCCACCTCAGTTCCTACATGTACACCAGAGCGCTCCTCTAGTATTGTCTCTATTGTCTAACCCTAACATGCAGTTATAGCATAACATGTCATAACATTTCTGCATGTAATCAATTATTACCCAGCGGACCTCGTGTTGTCTCTAAACTCACATTTAGAAACGCATAATGTTTTAATGCGTATATAACTTAATAAAGACTAAAATATATTTTTCTATTTTGTACATATACTTTCTATTTAAACTGGAATTAACCTCGTGGAAATGGACCAATAATGCAATGTAAATATTTAATGACTCTCAATAATAAGATAGTTTCATGAGCAGACGCGCAAAGTAAATGTCATTGTTGGTTCTCACTGTCTTGTTTAGGACTTGTGACAGTAAATAAAGAAGTGAAGCGCTGAACTTCAGCTTTTTAGACCAATCGTAAAAATCCAACTTTTAACCAAAAATGAAAATCCTCATGTAGTCCTACCTCTGGATAGCAGTCCTTGGCAAAAACATGCAGGAGCGCCGTTTTTCCACACTGCGTGTCCCCGACCACCACAATCTTGCAGCGGCTGCCCAGACCATCCATGGTGCGTCCGTCAGAGGTGAGCTGCTGTTGACACCGGGGTGGGTCGCATCCAGCATCCGTTACGGTGCAGGACGCGGCGGTGGGAACGCAGAAATTGGAAGTAATTGAGCAAATACATGCGCCGACCCCGTTGGTGCGTCCTTGTTTTATATCCAGGTTTCTTTGTCCAACACGCAGCCGCCGTCCGGTGTCTGCTCCAGCATCTACAGAGACTGGTGTGTGACTGAGCTGGAGCCAGGACGCACAGCCCTCACTGAAAACTCCACTACTTTGATTAAATGGCCACGCCTTCACACTGTTCGTGTCATCACTTCAGGTCCAAACATTCGGCTGCTCAAATAGTACCATTTCTGTTTTTATTTGTTTATTCTTCTCACTTATTCATCAAAATAGGCTAATGTCAGGGGCGGGTCTAATTAATTTGGGGGACAGGTGAGCAAAAGGAACCCCTTAAAAGAAACCTTTTTAATAATAAAAAAATTCATGCTTCACTTGATTTTTAACATTGATTTAAACAAAGAAAATACCTACAAGTTCATGCCCCCCGCCCCCACCCACACAGTGATGCACATGGATGGACGTCCTGTATGAATGACAGCTCCTCTGCCACTAGTAGCCTGTTATATATACTGTTAAACACTCTGTTCATTTAGTTTTTTACAGACATTACGGTAGGAGTTTATTGTAGGACCAGACTGTAGTTTCAGGAAAATTTCCTTTTGAGCAAAACACATTGGGAAATGTTGTCTACTTACGTTATCAGGTCGGTGAGTCTTGTGAGAGAGAGGACACGAAAGAGTAAAGTACAAGACCATATGGTACAAACTGTGGGAGTGGACCGTTAGGTGTCCAGTTGCAGGCGATGTATGGACCACATACAATGGTCACTTAGTGTATGCTCATTCAGGCTTGTGGCCTATCCTTGGCTTTTCTTTAGATGGAATCAGAAAAAAATGGTATCGTGATGATTGTAATACCATAAAATCGCCCGACCGATATTAGCATATTATGTAATCAGAATCATAATTGGCTTTTCCTCCGATAATGAAAACCCAATAACACAATGCCTGGTTTTCGCAAAATGTATGCACCCTAAAAATTGTTTTGGGGATAAAAGGTAGTATATTAAAGTGAAAGTCACTAGATGGCAGCATTGCAGCTCATTTAATTGATCTCATAGTCATACAGTGGTTTGTACAGATGAATAAATAAATATTACCAGGCCTATATCGGTATTGGTTGATATCGGGAATTAAGTGTTTGGACAATATCGGTGTATTCAATACTAGCAAAAAGTTAGTTAACAGTTAGCAACCGTAAGGACTGTGTGTATTGGGCAAAAATCATTCTGGATATTTCTGTTTTTATTATTGTTATAGTAAGTATTCCTGACGTGGATCTGTTAGCAAAGTTCAGCTGTGAGCTGTTTCAGATGCAGCTCAGTGAGAGCATTTACAGCAGTAATCACTGGCTGTATTTCCTAAGCCACTTGAGCTCCAGCAGCCCAGACCTTTGACTTGTTCAATAAACACTTACTGACTGTATCTCCCAGCTCCAAGGCAGTGAGTGATCATTTCATTAGCTTCCAGCTCTCTGGGAGAAAACTACACTGATAAAAATCCTCCCTACACAGAACAATACTGTTGGAAACCATGGTGCACATATTTTTACAATGGATTTAGTGTTAAAGTTTGGAGTAACACTGATTGGATGTTTATGATCACTAATTGTGCCAGGACGCAGTGTAATGATGAGTGAGGGTCTTTGGAAAGCAGCATAAATGGACCTATTACTGCTTCTGGGTCAGCGCCAGCTTGACTTCCTAATGGAGATACAATAAATGCAGCATGTCTGGCTAAAATAGTCCATCAAATTAAGTAGTTAGACAGGCTGTTTTTTATGGAGCTCACCGTCATAAACGTGGTTGATGCTCCCTTGATGCGCCTCACTGAGGCGCTACACTGTTATTGCTTTATTGAATTAGATAATTACCAGCCACAGGTCAACTGCTGTGGAGTCATGTGTTTCTCCCTGAAGGCCGACACTGCCCCCCTGTGGACACAATTGGTCAATGTATATATATATATATATATATTAAACAAACGATTCCAGCAGTCTTTCCCAACCTTTAATCAGCCAGGGCATAGATTTTCTAACAGAAAAATACCACGGCATACAGTCGGCTCAGTTAAAATAAAATAATAAATAAATAATAAGAAAAATACATTTTTTGGGTATAGTAGTGATCATATACTGAGAAACATATAATGTATATATAAAGTATGTTCAGTAAGTAAACTTTAGCCTGGTTATTTGAATCGTAGCTCCCAAGACAAAAAAGTGTGGCCACCCGGATCTACTTCAACAGCTCCAAGTCCCTCTGTTTTCAGTTTTTATAGCTACCTGCTGCCTCCTAGTGGAAGAGTATTTGGTCGTGACTGTGTCCTGTAAATGAAGACAAATTATTTCTCGTACATGAATAATAGTCTTCAGGCAAATTAAGGTAAACTTGATAATTTCCCATAATACACCTGATGATCTCCAATGCCACACTAGTGTGGCACGGCACAGAGGTTGGTCATTGGTTACCTTCCACCTTCCATATCAGATTTCTAAATTTTAGGAACAAAACAATCAGCTGTAGAAGAGCCTCATGTCAGATGTTCCACTGACTGAGGCCCAGAACATGAACTGATTGTAAATCTTCAGATTAAGAAAACCATATTGAATTACATTATAAGAACAAGGAAGGAAATTCAATGCTTGGTCTGTATAAAGCACCGGCTTAAGTTAAATTGGAAAGTTTGAAATGAAAGCCAGAAGAACTTTGAATCTGGAAGAGTGTGGAATGTTCAATGAAAGTGGGCTGAAATACTGCTCCTGATTTTACCGTAACCGATATTCTCGTTTGATTACAGATCCTTTACTCTAAGTGATTGTAGACTAATGTGGAGAACCATCAATGCCAGTAATGTCTTTGTTTCTGGCCTAACCATATCAGAATAAGTGACTTATTTTTCAATGTATTTATCATGAATATTTGTACAATATTTACTCTGTATTCATCCTTCATTCTTGCCCTCAGCTTTTATTTTAGCAGTGCTGCTTCTAGTTTTTTGATTTTTTTTGGGGGGGGGGGGGGGGTTTAGGCCAATCAAATTTAAGCCTTATGTGTTGCCAGATTGAAATAAATCTCCCCTAGGGCCCCCAGAGTAGTGCTGGTGCTGGGAGCCTAAAATGATTGGCAATGACATTGTTTCTTTAACCAATCACATTCTGTGTTAGCATCAAATAACCATTTCAAAGAATTATAGCTTGCCCACAGTTAGATTGGTGTTTTGATTGGACACGCTTTTTTTCTGTACATTTTGTTTCTTTGGGTAACTAAGTTCACCTTTTTGTGTTTTTTTTTAACACAAAAGTGTATTTTGTTGTGTAATACAGCAGAACACACCATTTGTGATACTACTTTATGTTTAAAGCTCATTCTAAAGTTTCTCAAGAGAGGCTCGGTCTTGGTGTTAGTGTGACAGAAGATGGCGGTGTTTATCTATTCCTGCAGGACTCTTAGCTAGAATCTTAATACCGTATGTGCACACTGCAAGTAAGTTCCTTTTGTTTACTTCCTATTTCTGACAACGTAAGTCCCCAGAACTAACGACCTCCTTTCAAACACCAGTGAAGACCCGCTCTGCTCTTCCTGCAGCTGCATGCTGTTGTTTTCTGTGATCAGCAGAGTGTGGTCCAGGGTAGGAGGTAACAGAGGACACCCTGCTAAACACAAAGACAGCTAAATATACCTCGGGCTGACAGTATTAGGCAAACTATATAGTCCTGATATACTCCAGATTAAAAACAACATTTATATAAATACAGAAACACCCTTGGAGTCAATCTAATGCCCTATATATTAAACAAAGGCTAGTTCACCTGTCACATGTCACATGTTGTGCTATATTAGCATAATTTTGAGAGTAACAGAGAATAAAGTAAACATATCACACCAACAGGAGCAGGAGCAGAGAGCATCTTTAGGACATGTTCACTTTTACAGTACTCCAATGCCTTTACTTTCTGAGTAAAGCGTGTGTCTTATTGACATATGAAGTATGTTTTTACTTCATCTATAAATTCAGACCATATTATACCTCATTTAGGTGAAAAATACATTGGTGGCAGTGTGGACTTCTCGTTTAGGCTCTGTATTGGATTAGTGCTGCATTTCAGCTTGGCAGTTTAAAGGACCTCATCAAAACTAATGGAACTACAAATACCATGAAATACTGGCAGACTCTGGGCCATCTGGGTTGTTGGCGTTCTTGGCAGACTTAAAGTGCCGTAAATCATATCTAAGGATATTTGTAGCCAAAAATACCTAAACACTGGCTTTTGTACCTTTTGAACCCAATCATGACTCAAAGTGATTCAGCATTTTATTCTTATAAAATTCTTGATAGCCCAACAATGGAATGTTTTATCTCTGTTGGTTTAAAAGATGGAGAAGTGGAATTTCTGTATCTGTGGTGGCAGCTTTTTGTCAGTGTTCCCTGGTTTAATCCTGGGCATTCTCTCCATGTTGATGGAGATGAAAATAAGATTGTTTTGTAGTTCAGACACACACGTCCTCGGAGACTCACTGTGTGACACAGTAGGCCATTTTTATCCGGGCCGAATGTGTTTTCAGTAACCTACTTAAACAAAGGAGGCAGACTGTAGTCCCTACACCAGGTGTCTGATGCAGTGCCTCCCTGTTCCCTCATTCTTTTAACCGCAGCATTTCCTGTGATGGATACGTTTTCATACCTTATTCAGCTGCTGCTGCTGCTGCTGCAGCAGCTTCTCAGCAGCGTCTCCTTGGCCTGAGTGTAAAACTAATAAATGAGGCCTGGGCATTCTGGTGATCTTCCAATCTTTTTTTTTTTGTTGTTTCACTCCACCCTAACTCCAATCTGCAGTCTTTGTCATTTCCCTGACTTGTGCATTATCATACTAGCCTTGTCAGGGCTAATGGCGAGAAAAGCCACTCTCCCAGCAGCCGCTGCATACTGATGTCTAATCAGGGCGGCTCAGTGCAGTTGATGACCGAGAACAGACAGTGCGCCGTGTAACATTTTGCTTGTGTCAAAGCAGTGGATCAATAACGCCCACGTCCTACATCATTAAGCCCCTGTGGGATTATTGATCAGGACGTTTGGCCTCAGAAAGGCTGAGTGGCTCTTAGCGGCCACAAGGTGTCTCAGCACTCCAATTGTGGTTCCATCTTTGAGTGGACACCGGGCTGGACCGCTTTCAGAGCTCAGAAAATCTGGACAGACTCTGGTTCCATTTCCCCATCGATGTCAAGAAGAGAAAACATATTCTGCACTAATCTGAATCCCATGAGCGGGCATGTCCCCGGGGTACAGAAGAAGAAGTCAACGTGCCCTGCACACTGTAATCAAAAGCTGGCATGGCCTCAACACAAGCTCATATTTTCTGGAGCTGCCTTTGTGGGGAAGCGACAACAATGAGCTGTACGCAGGCCCAGAGTTCCTGCAAATGCTGCTGTGGAATAGGCAGCGTAAACAGAGGTTTCCTGTGGCTGCTGCTCTCCCAGCGAACACAAAGCTCTCTGTCAAACATGCAGCAGTAAACATGTAGGAGTTTGAAAATTAGCTCACAAAGAAATGGTCATTTGTCAGTGGCAGTGTACAGGTCACACCTCAGGGGCAGCAGTGATTACAGCGACTCTATTTTTGATATGTTTAGCCTGTCATACCACACAAAAGAGTTCAAACACCTTGACCCAGGTCAAATTCAAGCACCTTCCAAACACTTCCACATACATTAGCTTAACAGACGAGCTAACGTTTTGATATATTTTCCCATATTTTAATCTTACTAGCTATTAGCTTTTTCTGCTATGTTTTAAAATAACTGTATGCTTTCTGTACTAAATTAAAGTGTAAATTTACAAGTACCACTAGAGAGCCCTCGCGTACCACCTGTGCTACACGTACCACAGTTTGAGAACCACTGACATAGAATATAGTCCAACTAATCTAGTATATTGTACAACACCGAAAAGTTTTTGCAGTGTACAGAAGGTGTTTATTTCCTCTTATTCCCTCAATAATCTAATGGAGCAATCTGGGGATTGGTTTCTACTTTGTCTGCCTTTTTAGCTTCAACGGACGATTTGCAAATCACCTCTGTGACTGATGTATTACGTCAGCAGATAGATCTGTTGGCTGAAGCCACAAAGCTAAACCCACACCCATCCCCACATGATGCCAGTCCCCGGTTTCATCAGCTCTCCGTGTTTTCCAGCCTGCCTTCGACTCGTCCCACTCACACACACACACACTCACACACACACTCTCAGTGTCAGAGCGCAGCGTTGACAGCCACTGGCCACTCTTCAGCCCATTCTGTCGGGGTTGTGTCTCCATGTTGAGAAAGAAGCTCTGACTCTCGCATTTTCATTTTATTTGCAAAAGAAAAAAAAAGTAAGAAAAGACGCGCGCAGCTCCAAACCACCAGCCCGTCCACGGCATACAAAAAGCACAAAGAAAACTCAAGTGATTTTAGTTTCTTTCTAGACTCATCCCTGTCTCACAGCTCTCTGCACAATGTCTGGAGAAGACGCACCTGTCCAGCAGCAAAACGCCGTGGACCAGAAGCAGGAAACCAAACCTGCCGAGGAACCCAAAGCCGAGCCACCCAAGACCGAGTCCCCTCCCGCCGCCGCAGCCGCCGAGGCCGAGGCGACCACGGAGAAGGTCCCCGAAGAGGAGGCGTTCACCTACCGCGCTCTGGTTCTCACAGGGTACGGAGGCTATGACAAAGTCAAGCTGCAGGTGAAGAAAGGCAAGCCGGCGCTCAAGGCTGGAGAAGTCCTGGTCCGGGTCAAGGCGTGCGGGCTCAACTTCGCTGACCTGATGGCCAGGCAGGGGCTGTACGACCGGCTGCCGTCCCCGCCGGTCCCCCCGGGGGTGGAGGGCTCCGGGGTGGTGGGGGGAGGGGGGGGAGA